GGGGGGGGGGGGGGGGGGGAGGGGGGACACTGCGAACGCGCGCGGACCGGTCTCCCGGTCTCTTCCCGTTTAACAATCGTCGCCGCGGACATTAATTCAAACGGTTTTTTATCTCGCGGAGGGAACCGTTAACGCGCGCGTTCCGCGGCGCAATAATAATAATAACAACGGCGGCGGCGGCGGCAACAATGATAATATATCCGTCTGCACACGTCTCACGCGTCTCGGGGATCGAATGCGGAACAAGAGATAAAACAACAAACGAGTTCGGTCCGTTGAACATTCATTGTTATCGCGCGCGCGCGCCCCGTACGAATATCGTTCATTTGCCACTGTACTGCGCGTCGCGCTCGTGCCGCGGATCGATAACACAATTACAACTCGTACCGATATTGCACCGTGAAACGACAACAACGACATTATGTCCGCGCGTACCGGTGTTAAAATATGTACGCGTAAACGTACACGTCCGCAAGGGCAAAACTTTCAATCAGTTCGGCGCGGTATAATATGTACACGTTGCGCGCGCACGAAAACATGACGGTAATTACACTCGAACGCCGCCGCGTTTTATGCCGTGCGGCAATGAAAAAATCGAAAAAAAAAAAAAAAAACGCCGGCCCGGGATAACGGGGACGGGCGCGGCGACTTTTGCAGGCGGATAGTCAGGGAGGTACGGGGTGTACATCTGTTTAAGCGACGATCGGCAAAGCGAAAAAACGATTCTGATCGAAGTTCGGTCGATAGTGTTCGTTTGTCAACGACGTACGTAAGTCGCATTAAAATAATTACGTACGCATTAAAGATTTTCTTTAATAACACAATTCGTTTAATATTCGTACCGATTTTTCCGGATTTCCCCAGTTTTTAACACGTTTTTCCCGTTTATTAGGAAACCTCCTGAAAAATCAAAAAATAACCTCTCTAGAGTACCGCCCCAGTCGGATTTCCTTTCGGAAAAAGTGCTATTATATTGTATATCGGAGAAAAATTGCTGGTGGAAAAGTTGTTCACAGGAAAAAGAAAAAAGGCCGTCAAATTTTTCAACTAATACGAGTACCTATCACGAATACATTTTCATGTTTTTCCTCGGGTTTTCTCCAGTTTTTCCCATTTTTTTTTCAGGAAAAATGCTGGGAAAACCGAAAAATTGCCTTTACAAAAATGTACCTCCCCTGTCCGATTTCCTTTCAGAAAATACGCCGCACTTGTAAATCGGAGCAAAGTTTCTGGTAAAAAAGTTGTTCATAGATTGAAAAAAAACAAAATGTTAACATCATTGTAAAACCAATACGTCCCTCGCTCCGCCCAGAATCTGATATATCACAAAAAATAATAATAAAAAAAAAAAAAAAAAACCGAAAAATAACGAGATACCCATCATCCGTCATGGTTATAACATTGCCGGTCGACTGACGATGTCCGAGGCGATTGTCCGCGCACACCCTCGGTGAAATTCTAATATTTCGTACTCGTTATTTCACGGGGAGCGCGATTGGCGAAAGTTCTTCCCCTGTTTCGGCGGGGCATCGTATAAAGTCGCCGGAGGCCACGGAACCGCGTCTGTACGCACAATAACGCCGGGTGGAAAGTTCGCGTTACGTCCAGCGGCGCGTCCAGGAGTTTTCACCGGAAGAGCACGCAGCAAATAACGATCGCGATTCGCGAATTGAACTCGTGCAATCTTATTGCGTCGCGCCCGTATGTGCCCGACTCCACGACGACTACGGCGAGTATTTAAAAAAAGCCCGACCCGAAAAAGCCAATTACTTTATTCGACAAATCGAGATTTTCATTTTTCCTCCGCCGGACTACACGGATTCATTGGCAGAACATCTATTAAACAACCGCGCGCGTACAGATTTCGTGTATTCATATGCGAATGGAGGCGGAACGTATCGATGGTGTTTCGTTAAAAATCCGTATACCGCACTAAAAAATTAGAAAAACACGTTTTTGGTTACAGAAAATTTAGGAACGTGAACGGGTAAAAGACGGTGTTTTTAAATGCAGACAATTATGTCGGCAATGTCGACAAGAAAATGTTATCCGGGCGCCGTTTTAAAATATAATCAAATCAACACTGATCCGTTGAAATAGCGTATACCATGTCCAATGCACGTATACTTTGTGTACGGGTAATTGAATTGTTTTCCACGATAAACATCGTTAAAAACTGTTTTGCTTTTATTTTTGCGAAACAGTTTTTTCGCTTTCTGAAAAAAAGTGAAATTTGATAGCAAAAGGCTGTCGACAATATTATATAACCTTTAACGCCCGTCACACTGCACACGCCACTGGTAATCCGGTGGCCGCGGACACCTTCGAAGGGTTCTCCGGGCGGAAATTCGGATTTTTATTTAAATATAAAATACATTTTTATTTTTTGTTTTTTTTTTGTTTTTACATATATATATATATATATACATACGTGCGTATAATTCATGTGAGGAAAACTACTAATTCAAATCCATTCTGTATAACGGCAATAAAACACGATTTTGCATAATTCACGAAGCTATAATGAGGCTTTCGATTTGTAATCAATCAAGTGCACGCGAGGAGGTGAAGTTATTATAATACATCTTACGGCGCTATTTAAGGGTTTTTTTTTTTTTTTTTTTACCATTAACTAAAACTGTGCGTTTTTTTTTACATAAACCAGTAATAAAAAAAAAACCCCCGAAGAATCGCGCATAACTTATTCAATAAAGATAATATTTGCATAAAAAGCAAACAAAAATCAACGCAAAAAATTTAAAATTGAAAAGAAAAAGAAAATAATAAGTAGTCGGTTTATTTGAATATATAATATACTATTATGTACATATAGGTATACGTATTAAAGTTTCGACTCGATTGGAAACGGATAGAAAGAAAATAATGTATTTTATTTGTTTGTCATCACAAATAATGATAGAATATACGACTAATAGTAATCATATACGATTAAAAGGTAATTTCGATCTGTAATGATCACGAATATTGGTTTTTTAATCAGTTTTATTTTTGTTATTTTAATGATTATTAATATTATCCACTGCTTTTTATTATCTATGTATCAGGTAGGTACAGAACCCGCTAAGTTAACGAAAGGAAATCATTAAAATTTGTATAACTGTATCATTTAACCGCACGAGCCTTTCGATGAAACAATTTTAATCTTATGCTGTTTCCAACTAATATATTTACGCTAATTTTAATGGAATCTAAATTACATGTTAAAAAAAAAAAAAAAATAACGGATATACTTCACAGTTCGCAGCCACTGTTGTATGTGGGAATTTGGGAAGATGAGATACAGACGTAAGATGTAAGAAACGATAAATCATTGCTAATGAAAAACGATTCTGAACGGAGTTCAGTTGATAGTTTTGTTTTGTCAACAATATATAAATGTCGTATTATGGTTAAAATGATTATAACAATGCGCGTTTCTATGACAACCTTATTTTTAATCTTTTAATCTGTTTTAACCTAAAGAACCAGGTTTTCATCATTATCTGGAATAATAATGAGAATTTCAAAATAATCATTTCTTTAAAGTACCGCCCAGAAAACATTTCCTTTCAGGAAAGGTGCTATACTTGATAATAGGAGTAAGTTTTCTGGTAGGAAAAGTGTTTACATAAAAACAAAAATAAACACCATAGTGAAATCAATATATTTCTTGCTCAGCTCAGAATTTAAAAATATATGAGAGTTATACTATACTACGATGTCATATATAGTAATATTATGTATTTTTTTTAAATTTTTTTTTGGACATCAAGTTGTTATCCTCACAATGAATCCTGGGAGAAAATAATTCAGAGCCCAGTACAGAGAGGTCGTTACGTCCAATGCAAAATATACATTTTAATATATCTATATAAGGATAAGAGATAATTACTAGAATAATATTATCTATATGAAGGTGATAAAAGATGCAAAACAATTATATAACAATTTAGATTGTGTGCATTGTATATTGAATATTGTATAAGAAACACTAATTGTCGGACCTTTCGGTCTGACTAGACGTTTTAACTGTTATGAGATAAAATACGTACATTTGATTACGCGTCTACGGGATCAAACTAGGACGTGGGAAACTATCGAACGGGGAGTTTAATATTTCGGTTTATTAAACACTATACAGTAGGATTTACACAGAGAGTTCGTCAAAAAACGATACCCGTTAAGAAATAAAAAAATAATAGCATTAGTGATACACTCATAACGCGCAGATAACCGTCAGAGTAATGAAACTTCCTTCGTCTGGACAAAATATCATACTACAAAGAAACCGGAAATGTATAATATTATAATAATACGTTGTGATTACAAGGGTCGTGCACGCGTTTCGTAATATTATGTAGGTCCTCTCCGGTGGGGGTTTTTTTTTTCCAAAACATACATTAGTATGTTACCGGTACATACGTAAACGCAAAAAGAAACCCGAAGAAAGATTCTCGAACGTATCGATTTCACATAATATTCGGTTATATTGTACCTATACACATGGAAAACATATCGTATTTAATACTATAGTGTACGTCCAGTGTTCGAATTGGAAAAACAAAAGGAGAGTAAAATACAAGATTTAAAAAAAAAAAAAATTCAACGTCCGTTGCAATTATCGGACTCCACCTAACACGTGGTGGCACTAATTTTTGAACGTAATTCAGTAATCAATTATTTCCGAAAACAAATACTGTAATATAATAACAATGCTGCATGCCATGTGTTTTTGTTATTTTTTTCTGTACGTGGACAACTTTTCCATTAAAAATCTTACTCCGATCGTTAACACGATGGTGATGGTTTCTGGTAATTATGTTCGTCTCGTGTTTATTCAATAACAGGAGGTTATGTGTTTGATTTTACTTTCAGTATTCTTAATTATGGGGAAAAACTCGAGAAAAACGCCGAGAATACTTTTAGCTATTACATTTACCCAGGGTTTAACGGTTTCGATTATATTCTATGATGTTTATTCAGTGAAAAATAATCTTAGAGGCCGGCAATTTCACTGTATATACGTGTAGGTATGCACAGAGCTCTTTCCGGATATGGTAACATTTTCAAAACATTCTGACATTCAAAGCCATTTAAAACTGTTTTTTTTTTTTAGGATTTTATTTTTTTTTATGCGATTAAAATTGTTTTGGCGGCCCAGCGAAAATTCTCGAAAATTTAATACGAGGTTTATTATGTGTTGCAATAAGTGGAAAAAAAAGTATAGCGTTATGTGGTTTTTTTTTTTTTTATATTTGAAGTTCAAATTTTAATTTAGATACATAATTTTACTAAGACGAGTACATTTGTATTTTTATCTCATCTAGATAAATAAGCAATTAGTTATCAGAGGTAAATAATTGAATCGTCTAGATGTATTTTTAGATTCCGAGTGGAACGAAGCATGTATTAGTTTTACAATGATGTTTATTTTTTTTCTTCTGTGAATAACTTTTCCATCAGAAATTTTGCGACCGATAACACTTTTTCTGAAAGTAAATCGGACTGGAGAGGTGCTTTAAGGAGGTCATTTTCTGATTTTCCAAGGCTTTTTCCTAATAAATGGGAAAACCGGGAAGAACATAGGAAAAACGAAAAAAAGATACGATATTAAACAAATATTATTAAAGAAAATATATTATGCATATATAATTATTTTACCATAATATAACATACATATTGTCGACAAAGCAACACTATCAACCGAACTCCGCTTAGAATCGTTTTGTCTTTAGCAATGTTTTATCGTTGCTTACAGATATACATTAAATTTCCCCTCTACTACCTTCCCAACTTCTCATCTACAACATTGGCCCACTCGCGTGCAAAGTATGTCGGTCTTTTTTTGAACCGCAATTTATACATTCATTAGAAATAATATAGGTAAAATATCTAATTGATATTGGTACGGTTAGGTCTAATGAATTATCTAATAGTTAATAATTTATTAAATTACATTAATCGTACGTCGTTTTTTTTTTTTTTTTTTCTAAAAAAAACTAGTGTACTAAATCTTTTACAACCTTATAGTTTTGTGAATTAAAAAAATTTACGAACAAAACGTATTAGTATTTCCGAAATGTAACGCTAATTACAAATAATAATTGGATATATTTGTTTGTATGTAGGTACGTGACTCGCGTGGCCGGGTAAGCGAGACCAGTTCGTAGTACAGCTGCGTATTTGTTTTTGGTGTAACGTAGGAAAAAAAAAAATATTATTCTTTGAAGAATTTAAATTGAAGTGTAACAATATAAATAATATTTATATAAATCGAAAACAAATATTTAAAATACCAGCTGTACGAGTATATATATATACATGTACCTTGCTGTGAGTGCTATTGAATGCCGGAATAGTATAAGAAACATTGAAAAATAACAATGGTAAGACGCACTTTTTTATGGCTTTAGTATTTTTTTGTTTTTTTAATTTCATTTCCAGGTCAACTATATACGTCTTAACGCATAGGTATCGGCGAGAAAGAAAATATAATTTCTTCTTCCGGTTAGGTGTTATAGGAACACTGGTGTTATACAGTTTTTAATTGATTTCCGTACAATCTTGACGCAACTATAGTCGGGCTAAACGGTAGGAGGCGTGGGACAAACTGCTCAAATGAATATACACTTACGTTGTTGTTGTTGTATTTTCAGTTAATTAAATTATATCGAGGTTATTAATCACGGATTTGGAAAAAAAAATCGCTTACAAAAACGACAAAGCTGAAATAGCACCGTCCTTTGATTACAAACGAAATTGGAGATGCAATTCTCTAAAAATGTCTGACTGCAATTGCGTTAAATTTAAATGTTTAAATGTTTATTATATTTGATTAAAGGGTAGAGAATTTTAAGTCATTGCTATCCTTGTTGTAGTTTCGAAGAAATGTGCGGGTTCCAAGTTAATTTTCTATCTAAAATAACTCCTAGATATTTTATAGTTGGGGACCAGGGTATATTATCACCGTTAAATACAAGAGTGGGTGGAGTTTTGGGAAGACAAAGTGTGAATGTACTGTTGTACTTTTTAAGGGGTTTAAGATAATTTTCCATTTTTTTGCCCAGCACTTAATTTTGTTTTAAGTGACTCTGTATATTTTCAGTGATAATGTGGGCGTCACTGGAGCTTGAATAAACAACAGAGTCGCCAGCGCAGCGCAAAGAGAAACGTCTGTGTTAGATGTAGTAGGAAAGTCCGCGATGTATAAATTAAAAAGCAGGGGAGAAATTATGGATCCTTGGGAAACACCGGCTGTTCATTTTTTTTTTTTTGTGTCTGGGTTGGTGTCATTTATATGAACAAAAAAACTAAAAAGCATTAAAAACATTAAAAAAATTAATACGTTCAATAGATAATTTTAATAATGATAATGTAATGTAACATAATAATTAAATGGAGTTTTTTTTTTTTTTGAACATTATTAGTCAAACTTATGTGGCATATACCTAAATTAACCGGTTATTCGTAACGTCCTGTCTCCTGTTCAGTCCGTTATTTTGTCATCTACAGTTTTAGTTTTCAGTGTTACCACTATGCTACTTCTATATTGCTGTCGCTGAAGTAGATTCGCAATATTTCTTAGAGTATTCGGTCGTTTTTTTCGTATAACTCTTATCGGACATTAACTTACCAGGAATTTTCGATACGTTTTTATTTATAAACCAATTTTTAATGTCTTACGAAAAATGTTTTTTTTTTTTTTCATAATGTTTTATTCGAGCTGTACAGGACGTTCCGACCGCGATGTAAAAACGTAGGCGTCGCCCAGTATAGTTTTCGGTGTTTGTCCCGGTCGATTAACCGTATTACGTTGCGCGTGCATTATACACACAGACGTGTAGCGTGTAAGCACACCGAAACCGCACACAATCCGTCGTTGAAACGAACACGAATGAATCCGTTCGGAGAACGATTCGCATAACAACAATAATATTACGTACGTCGAAGAGACGCGCGTTCGAAATCGGGATTACACACACACACGCACACACACACACACACATACATACACACACACACACATACATACACACACGCACGCACACACACACACACGCACACACACGTCCGAAGACGTCATGTTTAATTCACTATGCACACAGGTAGCACTAGGTAGATAGCAAGTACATAATATATAATAACGTTGTTATACGGGAGACGTTTTTAGTTTTCGGCCTGCAGACGCGGTAAAGGCCGACCGACCCGCTGGCGACGCACTCCGAAAACGTTTAATTAATCATTCTCGCGCCGGGGAGAGGGCAGAAAAGGGCGGAGGGGCGGTAAGTATGTATGTATGTATGTATATATATATAGGCACGGTGTAAGCCCGCGTGCGAGTATATAAGACCGCGGAGAATTATATATAGAGAAAAGCAATCCGATTAACGCGGCGGCGGCGTAAAGAAGTTATAGTCGCGGCCGTTACGGAAAAGAGGAAATAATGTAAACCCACTTATTGCTGCAGCCGTAGCCGACGGGCTCGGTGACAAAGAGAGAAAAAAAAAGCCCTGTATTGTCTGCGTAAGGGGTTTTTTTTTTTTTAAAAAAAGCCGAGTTTTTTCGTTTTTGATGAAAAAAAAAAATATATATATATATATTTGTTGTTTTTAAAATAAACACTCGCGTTAACAGCGGATGAAAACACAAACCGTAATAATAATACCAGTATGGTATAACGTATGAGAGTTTAGTTATTGTAGGCAGGTAAGCAGGTAGGCATACAGTAGCTCGCTGCGGCAGTATAATTGACGGGTTATTTTATTGGTCGACAACGAAACGTATACGCGATAAAAAAATAAAAAAAAACAAAACAAAACCGTTTTCCTACGTACAGAGCGATCAACGCGACGTAAGACACGATTGTCTTGAAAAGCATTCAGTTTTCTTTCTCTCGAAATTTGTCCTTTAGAACGTCTAAGAAACGCACGGCTCTTGAACATTACGTAACTGTTGTTCTGTTTGCCATTTGTCATGGGGGAGAGAGGGGGGGGTTAAACCGCTACCCGCCGCTTTTGATTTTCCGAACGGCAACATATTATATTAAAAATTCCGCGAATAGACAAAGTTTAAGTTTACATAAATTTCGGTGTTGACGTTTTTAATTTCCGTCGACCCGTTGACGAGATATTCCGCCTTTAAGATTTGGGTTCAAGGAGAGTGGTACGGCGTCATTTGTGTGGCGCGCGAGCGTCCGGCGTTTGAATAGTGTTTCACTACACGTATATAATCTTCTCCTATACCTATACAAAACTGCAAACTCAAAGGTGGAATATCACGTCAACGGGTTGACGGAAATTAAAAATTTCAACACAGTGTATTTTTCACTAAAAATTCATCTATTTATGGCACCTAAAGTAATAAGGGTGACGAAAATAACGGTAACGTAACATTTTTAAGTTGTGCTTTCTAAAAATAAATTTCAAAAAGTTTATCATTTTCCGAGAGATTGAGTGTATTACGTGATCACTTTAACTGTATTTCAAGAAGAAAACCACTGTCGTTGGTGAGAAGTTGGAAGATAGAGGAAAAATTGAATGTATATCTGTACGCAACGGTTAACCATTGTCAACGAAAACACGATTCTGAACAAAATTCGGTCAATAGAATCGCTTTGGCAACAATATTTATGTCATATTATGGTAAAATAATTACATACGCATTATACATTTTCTTTGATAATATTTGTTTAATATACTCGTATGTATCTATACCTTGTACCTATTTTCCCGTTTTTCCTGCGTTTTTTTTTCGGTTTTTCCCATTTGTTGGGAAAATCAAAAAATAACCGCCCTAAAGTACCTCCCTAGTCAGATTTAATTTTAGAAAAAGTGCCATCACTGTAAATCTGAGTAAAATTGCTGGTAGAAAAGTTGTCCACAGAAAAAAATGTATGTTTATTTTTTATTTTTTTAAACCAATACATTCCTCGCTCCACTCAAAATCTAAAATAACGTTTTCACTATTCGTATGGTATTATATAAAGAGTTAAATTTGCTACAGCAGTAATATGTGAAATTTCATATTACCATCAATATTGCAGAAGCAGTAATCTTTTCAATGGTATCAAATCACAAAAGATGTGGCAGTATAGACTGCCACATTGCGGCAGTCTATACTGACAAATTACATACATTTTGGATGCGGGTATAGCAGATAACATAACCTAATTATTAATATAACAGTAAAAATTGTATTACAAGTGTTCGTCAATTTGTTAATGTAGTTTTTCTTTCTATTGGTTTTTGTATTTATATGTTAGTCCGTCACAATACGCGACGTAATAGCCAATAGCTATCGACTAAATGATTTGAAATTGATAACTTTAAGTGATTAAACCGTTAAACGCAAAAGTCATTCGGCATCTACACTCACTTTCTAAATTTTTGTTTTTAAAAAGACGGACATACTTCGCACATTGGTGCAGCCACTGTTGTACGTGAAAAGTTGGGAAGGTATAGGATATAGAGGGGAATTTAATGTGTGATTAATCGTTGTTAACGAAAAACGATTATGAGTGAAGTTCTGTTATTCAAGGCCATAATAATATTTAATATTTACTATTTTCGTCAAAATTTGATATTGAAAAAAAAAAAAAATTCTATATCAAATTCAATATTTTTTTGTTGATCACTAAGTACGACTAAAAATGAACTTCTTGTTAAATTTTGAAGCATTTCTGTTTGGTCTAACAATTTTACCTATCGAATAAGTATTACGTAAAAAATTCGCATAATTAAAATGTCTATAAATAGCTCAAAATGGCTCAAATGTTTTGAAAATTTAATCACGTTTTTAAAATGCAAATATAAGGTGTTTGTCCAAATTTCAAGTAAAAAATATAGTATATAATATTAAAACTAGACAATGCATTGTAAAACCAATATTTTCCCCGTTTCGCTCAGAATCATTAAACATCATCCGCGTGACAGTGTCAAATTTCTCGCCGCCTATTTTGTTTATGGAGTAGAAATTTTCTGTATAAAGCAATAATTACCCGATTACTATAACAATAAAATACTATTGCATATTATAAACTACTCATAAAATACAACTTTTTACTATACTGTAGTTCCGAAAAAATTCTAACTTTTGAGCATAAAAATGACAAAGGCAGTTGAGCGGAGGTTTAACCTCCAAAAAGCACGAAACACAAAAAAACGATTTCGTTCTTCTAGATTTATTTGGAGAAAGAGGCTCGTAGGAGTTTTCAAAGCTTAAAATATACACTCCTCCCGTAACAGTATATTCATATTGAAATTCAATTCATTTTTTATCAATTGTTTATTGGATACAGTCGTTTTGAAAATAACGTTTTCTATAATTATTTCGAAGTATTTATTCGAATGTCATGGTATTCGCCAAAATATTTTCAACATTATTTACATAAAGTTTGGAAAAAAAAAAAAAATACGCGTCGTGGTTTTTAAACATTTTTTTTTTTTTGTTTTGAGGTGCTACTACTTTTGACTGCACATACAGACTACGCCTAACGCCATATCGGGTTGTAACTAAAAACAAATTGATCGAAGGGGAAAATATAATAAACTGCAGCATTCTTCGCAACTCCACAGGTCGCCAGCGCAAAGTGTTTCGTAAAATATTTTTATCGGTGGCGAATAGTTCAAGTTATACATTATACTCATATTTTAAATTCGATTGTTTCGATGTGAAAACACTTTACATTTTTTCGTTCGGTAGTCAATGGCGTTCTTTATGAAAATATAGGGAATTTGTGTACCTATAGGCTACACAGCTCGTTTAAACAGTGACTTTATCGTTATTTGATCCGCGGTGTTTTACTGCAGGTTCAAGATCTGGATTGACGTGCATTTTACTACCGTTCACCGTCGTAATACACCAGTAACTGTTTTATCGGTTCATGTTTAATTTTTCTCGAAAAAAAATAAAATAAAATTTCCTAATTATAATGGAAATTTAAAAAAAAACCTTTCCGTCGTATTTTAATAAAAACTACAAACGTATCCTACTGTCAAACAGCATTATTTGGAATGCAAAGATTATGCACTGAAAAACAATGTTAAATGTCAGCTATCAGTGATTGAATTTTACAGAATTTTAAATTCGAAGCGTAGCAAGGAATGTTTCGGTTTCACAACGATATTTATTTTTTATAATCTGTGAGCAACTTTTCTACCAGAAATCTTGCTCTGATATAGCGAGTGTAGCACATTTTCTGAAAGGAAATTATTTTTCCTTAGTACATTAAGGAGATGATTTTTTGATTTTCCGAGTGGTTTTCGTAGTAACTGGAAAAAACCGAGAAAAAAAAAAGGAAAAGCAAGAAAATGTGTACGTACATGACATATAAAAGAAATTTCGCTCCGATTTTTTTTTTCGTTGGTTAGGTTCATCGTTGCGTACAGATATAAATCAAATTCCCATCTATATCCTAGCTTCTCGATTTCTCACCTACATACAGTGGCCCATCCATCGTGCAGAGTATATGCCTGTATCTTTTGATAAGATTTTAAAGTTTTTAATATTGGAAATACCAAATAAAAATGCAAAAGTAACAAAAATATGAGGCTTGAAAAAAAAGTGAAAAATAAGTAATATTTGTTTTCTCGCATACAGTGAAGGAACGTAAATATAGGTACCTAACCTTTCTTGAAAAAAAAAAAAAAAAAAAATTACATTTGCATAATATATATTATGTATACAAGTTCGCAAAATGACAACCCCAGTAATAATGTTATACGCTATAATTCGATTACAATATTACGGAAAAAAAAATATATATAGGTACCAAAACAATAATGTAATTGGCCGGCCGCGAATTTTGATTTATGTCCTCTCGCCTCCGGTTAAATTGTTTATAACCGTTCGGCGTACTAAGTTTAGACAAATTGAATATTATATTATGTTTGTTTTGGGGCGGTTTTCCGCTTTTATTTCATTATCAAATGCGCTCGGCGCGTGTTTCGTGCCGGAATCGGTTCCCGAAGAAACCCGTATTCCTTAAATCGAGGAACCCGTATCAGAACATTATGAATACAACGCGATCATTTTCGGTTCTTTTAGATTCGTATGGGTTCCGCGAAATCGCAAAGAAAACGGTTGCGGACAAAACGTATTGTGAGGACGTTGTATCCGCATCTACTGCATCAGTCCAACTATACCGGGTAACATACAAAAACAGTGTTTACGCTGGATGAGTAAAAATTGCCCGATTTCGATTTCAGTGTAAAAGTACATATTGTGAAGTTGTGAATAAAGGTTTTTGTATCTTTTAAATGGAGTTGTCAAATATGATAAAACATAAAAATCCAATTCCTTCCAAATTATTGTTCTCTTTAAATTGCACAACAGGTACTTTTACTCAAAAATCAAAATTTAGTTGGTTTTACTTATTTTGCGTAGGAATAGTTTTTGCATGTTGTCCGGTAGTTGGACTGAGACTGCAGTATAGTTGCAGGTATAACGTCTTCTTAATGAAAATAATAAACTATAATATTAGTGTAAAATATAAATGTGCACTGCTATTAATAACAATACAGAAATATTTTATCGTGTTTTAAACTAAAGCCCTAAACTGATATTAACCAAAACCGATATTAACATAAGAACCGGAGCCGATATTTCTTTAACCGGAACCAGGACCGAAATTTAAATTTTCTAATAACCGAATTGAAACCTTATTATGTAAATTGTTTAAAAAATATAAAAAAATGATATACTTCGGCGGGAGCTACTAGATCCAAAAAAAAAAAAAAAAAAAAAGGGTCTCTAGGAAATGTTTAAATAATTGCATTAATTCTGGTAGAAAACATAGCAGTTCGTAAAAATTAAAAACAATGAAATCGGTAACGTCGCTGCGTGCCGTAAATATTTGCTGTTTTACCAAAAATATTTTGTTTCCGGTTTATCTCAATTTTTTTTGAAAACATTTGAAAATCATAAAAAAAAAAAAAAAAATGACTTCTCTAACACACCGAATAGATAAAATTTTCTTTCAGAAAAGGTGTTACACTCGATATATCGGAGACAGTTTCGTTTTCGTAAAGTCATTTAGATTTAGTTGTTTACAGACAGAAAAAAAAAAAATACTGAAACATCATAGTAAAACCGATAAATCCTTCGCTCCGAGTCTAAAAATCCATCATAGTAAACCCAATAGATACCTCGAAATCTGAAATCATTTTTCAGTCGAAGTTATACAGTAGGTATAAGTTGGTTGGTAGTTCAGTGGCTAGTTGATTGTTCTTGGCGAATCGACGGAATTTCGACGTCCATGTTCGATTTCAGATTGATTACGAATTGGTTACGCACGGACCAAGGAACAAAAAAAAAAAAAAAAAAAACAAACACCAACGATATTCTCGGCGTATTTTTTGTAGCTATCCGAGTTACGACTTGAAATCAGATTTAATATAATATTCTTTTAAGTTGAGCGAATTAGATTCATAAAATATTATCTCGTAAGTATTAATGGGATTTTACGTTTGTGTACTAGCTATTCGAGTGAACTGTAAACACTCGTACACATATTATTATTATTATTATTATGATTATTATATGGTTTTCAAGTTCGGTACCCGCGAATAAAAAAAAACAGGAAGAAGAAGAAAAAAAAAGACGAAGAAACGAACGTACCGTACACAATTTCGTTTAACATTGGGGCGAGATTATTATTTATATACCTACTATTTTTGTTTCCCAACAGAATTGCGAACCTACCAGCAGAATATTATATTTACCGCTATCGTTATATAACAACTGAGAATTCCTCTGGATAAAAAATAAAAAATAAAAAATATAAAAAAATAAAATTTTTTATTGACTCGTAATATTATTATTATATTATGAGAAGTGGCCGGTAGGTAGGTAATGTTTGGAAAAAAATCGTTATGTATTCAGTTATTGTACAAAGCTATACGAGAGTTCATTTTTTCGAGTTTGTTAACGGTTTGAATTGTTTTGAACGAGTCCGAGTCGAAGAGAGCGTGAACGCATATATACACGTCGATTAAAAAATATATGACGCTGATACAGATGATACCTGATGGTCCATTGCTAAAAATGATATTCCACCATAATTTCAGCGGTTTTTATTTGAACATCAATATATGCTTTTCTCCTGCAGTAAAACGCAGCCATCGATGTACCAGATCGTTTTTGTGTAGCATTTTTTTTGTATCGATATGATTTTGACTAAGTAAATGTTTTTTTTTTTTAAAACAACCTACAAGTTCCACTAGTCGTCGTGCGTCGGAACTTACGGGTGCATTCCGTCACGTGGCACTACCATGATCCACACTGTTTACACTTCTTCAAAAATTGTAATTTATTGAAAAAAGACATGTTTTTGCTGTTCGAATTATACTATATAGAAACACACGTACAATGAAAATAATATTATTGATATGTTCGCCAAAAATAAAATACAGACGGTTCGAATTTGTGTTGTAAAAACTGTTGTCTGAAAATTACGACTTGCCCCCCGCCCTAACCCTACCAAACCAAGTCTCTGGAGTCGCCCTGTATGCGCACGTATACGGATCTGTTATTGATGGGGTACTTTTATTGTTTCGCCTTTTAAACGTTAATACCTATGTACCGTTTATAAAAATTTAATTTTAATCCGGAAATTTGTTTTAATTGAATATTTGCATTAGGTATGCCATTATATTGTATAACGCCGGGTAACATAAAAATTGTTTCACGATAATGGATTTTAAACAAAATATCGGTAATATTAAAAAAAAACGATTAAATAAAAAAAATTACAAAATATTTTAATAATTCAATATCCGCGTTTTAAATTTATTGACACCTTTACGAAAAATACGTTATATTTAGGTACCTACCATTGAAGTTAAATAATTAAATACCCACATTCTCTTACGTTTACATTTTCTTTAAGTGAATTATTATGCTCGTGTTTCTTTTTCCTTTTAATGATTGATTACCTACCTGCCGACCTAACCTACCTCGTCATGACGTATTGTTTCGAATTGTTAAATGATAATCGATCTCCGCCGTACTAAAAATGACCTTAGCTATGCGATTTTTATTAAAATATTCTTTTATAATTTTCCATCTTTATTCTTTTTCGGTGAAATCTATTTGATTGTTATGTATAGTATTGATAACGATTTTCTATGCAACAAACTCAAATCGATTATTCAAAAGCAACGTTTTCAAAGTAATAAATATATATATATATATTTGTATAAATATAATATTGTATGAATACTGCAAATTGTATGCCATGCCATCCTTTAAGCACAATTCGTCGTTATAATTAACGTACATCCTATTTTTAGGATTTTAATTAATTAAAAATTCAATGCCGCTACTATTTTTTTGAATTTCTACATTAAGTGATTTTTGTAGTTATACGCTAGTCATTGTACAGTGAAACATGTACCTCCATTCGTCTATGAAATTCCGACCGGGTTTCAATTGAAATATTAAATAAATTTAAATAAAAAACATGGAATATATTATGTACAAAAAAAAAAAAATAAATAATCGTATGAAGACTAATTTAGCCTGGATTTTATTTTGCATATTTTATTAAAGCATTACCTACAGCATGTCTTAAATAATTTTAATGCACATTTCGCTTATATTTGATACATTGAGCAGGCCACTTTTTGATTTTCTTTGTAGTATTCTTGATAGTTGGAAAAAATGAATAACGGGAAAATGTACGCAATAACGGTTTTTACAAGGAAGGCCATACGAAGTTTTTAATTCGAGCAAGTTTTCTGATAAAAAACTACGACTGCTCGTCTTAGTTATCAAATGTTATCCAAAGTGTATCCAATGTTTATACATTTCTTTAGTAAAAAAAGTTCATATTTCGACTGTTAAATTTATATAATACGTTTCTTTTCAGGTTTTCATGTTAAAAATTTCAAAACCTAAATGTTAGTCCGAAAATCTAAAATTGGCCCCTGGCTAATTTTCTAGAAATTAAGCGTAGAGGACATCGCACACCAACCGTGTATTACTACCCGGCGGCCACGTAGGATCACACAGAAGTCTTCAATCATCAGTCCTTATGCCCTTGAGCAAATTTAAACCTAAAGTTGTAACTAATTATAGTAAAATTTTTTTTGAGTAAGCATAAGCAGAAAGTATGGTATGATAAGGCAGAGGTTACATTATGGTCAAAAATGAAAAAGGGAAAGTTTTTAGAATTTAGGAGAAATACTATGTGGATAATAAAAAAACATTTTTAGTGTGAAGATTGAGAAAATAACTCCAAGTCAGGTAGATCTTAATGATAATAGTTTGAATATTGAAGGAAAATCTAATGAAAATTTCAATCAACGTATTAAAAGTGTGATGAATTGAAAAACAAAACAGAGATTGAAGATAAAAAAGATAATAGAAACAGAGATGAATTCAAAATACAAAAGAAGAAAGAAAATAAAAAAGTGCAAAGAAGATGTGAATAGAATTGATATGAAGTAAAGGTACAAAGTAAAAAAAAAAAAAAAAAGGAAAATCTTTGAAAAATACCTAAAATTAATTATAATTAATTGGTAGTGTTAAAAAAAAAAATTATAATAATTTTGTACATTGATTAACTTTTTGTATGTATCTATATATATACAGGATGATTCACTAAGTGTGCTTACCCCGTTTTTTCGGTTATATTTGTCATATATTTATATATTCGAATTCTGAATTTTGGAATTTTTAAGTGTGTTTAAAGCCGATATTTTCGAATAATTCGATTTTTCACAACATTTAAGGAGTATCCTGCAGTGGCGATACCAAAATTGGTTTATAAAATGTGAAACTATATCGAAAATTCCAATTATAGACAAGAGTATTAGTTTAAATAAATTTCGGTGTAAACATTTTTGATTTCAGTCCACCCGCCCTGTATGTATATGATGTCAAACATCGTCATTGTTTTATCTGTCTATTTTGTTATTTTGTTTTGTTTCATTTTTCTTTTGTATAAAGTTAAATTATGCTAATCTCGATCTAAGTTCACAAATGAAAAACAGAGATGTTTTATTATGCGTGGCGACACTGTTTGGATTGGAAAGTGTTGACCACATTGTGTCCAGTGGTGTTTCCATTAGGTGTACTACACATGCGCCGTGCACTCTAAACGTTCTGTTGAAAAACCACGAGCATTACACTGCGTGTACTCTTAAACAGTTGAAAGAAAGAAAAAAATATCCGTCACCATATATTATTATCACGACCCGTTCATACCAGTTACGCCACTAAAACCTAAACAGTACTAACAGTCGTATTCAATTTCGGTAATTTTAATTTATTTTTCGTATAATTGGTATCTATTTGTCTGTAATAAAATTAACGGGAACACCGCTGAATGTGCCTGACGTCTGTCCGTCGTCGGTTGCCGTACACTCCCGTTGTACGCCGCTAAGTGTAGTGGTACACTTTATGTTAAATTTTTAAATATTTCAGTCGATACTATTTATCGTAATACTGTATTCGAATAAATCGCAATGAATTTCAATATAGTAACATAAAGTGCACAATAAAAACCGTATAATTCGAAACTATAAAACGTACTTAGCAAAACCGATAGGGAATAATAATTATTATCGTAATTTAACGGTTTTAACCGCAGTTGTGCGACTACTAGAACAGAATCAATTTTTCAAAAAAAAAAAAAAAAGAGAACGGTTTAGTAATAATAACCTATGTATTATACAACGAACAAAGGCATTCCGGCAAAGCGAAATGAATTATTTCGAATTCGTACAGAGGAATGTATTTTTAACTGCGAAAAATATCGATGGTCATCAAGTTTTATGACTTATGTATTATATATATATATATATTTTTTACTGCACAAGTATGTAATATACGTCTGTGGCGTTTAAACCTATACCTACATAACACATCGTGTTCTATAGGTATACCGATAACCGTAAATAATTCCAATTTTCAGACGCGTACCTACAGATCAATTTTTCCTATATTGACGACTAACCGGGAAAAAATGGCACACGTATCGTACATTATTAAATACGCTATAGGTTTTCGGGATTTTTATTTTTCGAGAAAAAATTCGTATCACTCACGAGTATAGGTAGCTGCAGACATTGTAAACGTCCTCTAATATATATATATATATTTTTTTTTTTTTGAAATTTTAAGCAAAGCAAAAGCACTTTTTTCCCCCGACTGTTAAAAAGTTTTTGACCAGAAGTCATCTAGAACTAGAACCAAAACGCTCCAATTATCATCACGAGATCCAGGCGATGGCTTGTCTATTGACATGATCATTTTTTTTGATTTTCTTTGGAATTTTCTGGATAATGGCGAAAAGTGGGAGAATTTACGCAATAACGATTCAAGTTCGTCAAAAATAAAATCGTAGATACGTTGAACTTCCACAGAATACTTTTTATAACACTGTCTAGACGTGGTACAATTTTCAAAATACCCTAGAGTATTTTGAAATCTTTATGACAACTCGAAATTGTCTAGTTTTCCATGCTTTTGATACGTATACAAATGTTGCCTTATCAACGTTTTAAGATCAAAATTTTTGTAACAATCGTTGAAAACTCTAACAATAATATTGTTTATGTTATTTTGTAGTTGTATAACACTTGGAAAAATGTTTAATTTAAATTTTTCAAAAAAATATATCAATCGAACTCGACTCAAAATCGTTTTTCATTTTAAATATTGTCCGTCACTAATCATAATATAAATTATCCTATTTATTTTACCTTCCCATCAGTATGCCACTTTAACAGTGGCATACTGTTTTAGATTCTAAATGTAACAAAGAAGCTATTAGTTTCACTGTGATGCATTTTTTCCCCGGAAAATACAGTTCGGTTAGTACAAATGTTTTAATTTTTTCATGTTATTCGTTAAAATATGCAGATAAAGTTGGTTGGTGCTATATTTAAAACATTAATTGTCGACATTTTCACCGTGGATCTGTTTTTTTGTTTTTTGATTCTTCGGTTCCTTTTACGGGGGAAAAAAACCAATATTATTCCATTCAAAATTGTTTTTCGTTTGTAATGATTTATCGTTGAATACAGTTGATAAATTACCCGCTACATTCTACTTTCCCAAATAGCCGCTTATACAATAGCGGATCGCCCGTGAGCAGCATCAACTTTTTTTTATTCGTCGTGCATCATCAGTCCTCATATAATTTGAATCGCCGGGACGTTAGGAATATTATCAAGCTCGTCGGATGTTCATCTCGAACCAAATTTATCACACCTTTTTTTCGAAAACTTTAAATAAAAGTTTTTGCAAGAAAACGTGGTTGGTTTAATACGATCGCAGTAAACTAACTTTTAATCATACGATTTTACCGTCGATAACAACTGATTATTGTGTATTGAACGGCGATATGAAAGAACGTTACGTTTACTCAACGTTTATGCAGATCTACTATAGGTGTCCCGCGCCCGGCGTTGCCCGTGTTGATTGTTTATTCCTTTTACCTTTATATCTGTATATTGCTTTGTCCGTATACGACATGTTCCAGTGTATCATACATTTTTTTCATTCGTGTTATCATAGATACCTGTACAACACAGAGATTAAACTATATACTATCCATTATAATAACCCTGAAATTACGAGGACATGATAGTACGCTGTAGCGTTGTCACATTGTACCAAAACATACAAAGATTCAGAAATGACGTTTTACGTGTTTTCCATTTTTTACTTATCCACCCTGTACAGCGCATAGATTTTCGTTGTTTTTTCGCCTCTATTTAATTTCGTTCAAGTTTTATTTTCGCGAATAAAAGTAACCCACGTTTTTCTCCAGGGTCGCATCAATTCCTATACAAAAATTTATCAAAAACCGTTCGGTAGTTTTCGCGTGAAAGAGTAACAAACATCCATCCATGCATCCTCATAAACTTTCACGTTTGACATTTATAATATTGATTGATTTATATTATTATGGGATATCGAAAGCGGAATCACGTGGTACATTGGTACACTGTTTAAAGTGCGTTTTATCAGTATAATAACGAGTGTATTATAACTGTTAATAAACACCGCGGAATAACTGCAGTGTCCCGCATTTTTTCGTCGTTCCAAATGATTATATTCTTTCTGCGCGATTATTCCGTTGTATAATAAATCTGCGGACTGTAAGCCCGTTATTTTATAAAGTCTCTTATTTATTCGAATTGAATATTTTAAAGTTGAATTGTACATTATAAAATTACAATATGACAACCATAAAAACGCAGATTGATAAAATAATATTGATTTAAAATATTATTTGTAACGACTGACTTTTAATAAAAGTCATTCATATTCACGACAGTTCGCATTATTGAATAATAATAATAAAAAAACGATCCGTCACAATTTGAACAACAGTATACCTATACACTGTAATACTGCCTACCTATATTTTTTTTATCGATATTATATTATTTTACCGCTACCTAAAACAGTATAATAGTAATATTTTTTTTTTTTTTTTAAAGAATAAATTGACTAATGTACGGGAAAGTATTAATATTTTCACCGAAATGTATTTATCGGGAAAAATTATATACGTTTCTATAACATTTTACATTACACTCATTATTATTTGTTCACCTCGATGTCAGACGACGAATACACTTCGCCGTTTGAATTTCAAACGGCAATACCTAAATAATATATTTTAAATGAAATGATTTTCGAAACTATGTTTTTTTTTTTTTTTTTTTTTTTTTTTTTTTAATCGGTTTCGGTTTCCGCGTGTATACCTTTGGAATCCAATAGTCAATTTTCGAAAAATATAATCATTCNTTTTTATCGATATTATATTATTTTACCGCTACCTAAAACAGTATAATAGTAATATATTTTTTTTTTTTTTTTTTTTTTAATCGGTTTCGGTTTCCGCGTGTATACCTTTGGAATCCAATAGTCAATTTTCGAAAAATATAATCATTCGAAAATTCGATTTGTTATTGGAAATGCTTTCGCCGAATTGGAGCGCTAGAAATAATAATACGAATTTAATATCGGCTAGTTGTGAAAATCTAAACGTTTAGTATGCGATTAAAATAATACAATATGTTTACAGCATTTGATTAATTTAGCTCTTGACAATTATTCTACAGCATTGTTTTATTTGCATTCGATATATCTTGAAAACGTTTCCAATTGAATAACTGTTATTCGTAAATAATTAATATTAAATATAAAACCGTAGTTCGTTTTTAAATAAACCCGCGATTTGAAAACGATATTAATTTATTTTGTCGGTAATACATTCTAGGCACAACGGAAACGTATGTAATATTATTGGTACAGTATACCTCGCGGATTCTCATCACTGTAGAAACAATCAAGGATAGAATTAATAAGCCGTAGATCGGACGCGCGTATAAGCAGTCCGGTATTCGATTAAACACTTAAGAAGCGTTCCCCGTTTGTGGTTGGTCTGTATTACGAGTGCGCGCGAGGAAATTCCATGTTGTATCGCTTCTGGAGTTGAGACACTGAAACGTTTACTTAGCGTAGACGGTGCCTTAGCGGAACAACGCGGCACTCGTAAACAATTGTTGCCCGATTCGATACCGGCGATCATAGAACAATTTTGTTTACGTACGGTTTTTTTTTCTCGCAATTCGTTTCTTGTAACCTACCCGACGTGGTTTCGCACAACAGCTCAATGATCAGTCAAGTTTAAGTTTCGAACGAGAATGGCTTGAAATTAATACCATTGATAACAGCATTACGATACGATACTTCTATGCGCGCACGATAAAACACGGTGTGCTGAATTTGAGTCGACCAACCAGAATCGAACAGACGCTGAAATGGATCCCAGTACCTATGTTAATATGCAATTTGCACCGGAGAAAAGTGGTACTGAAGTAGGTGGGGAGTTTGAAAAATATAGGACAATTCAATATTATTAGAAAGCCAACATTTAGAATCTTAAAATTTAGCGAGCCAGAGCGTGAATAGCGGTGCACCATTATACTTCGCACCATCATCAGTGTGCCACCCATTACCTATAGTTAGTGTATCAATGGCAGTGTGCCTGCCGGAAGACACTGCTGAGCACACGCCATCTTCGACTGCCCATATTGGGAACCTTTCCGATAGGCCTTCATATATCGGTGGTAGGAACGTTGTTCTTAGTGACGTCCGAGATCTACTCTGCGGCCCTAAGGACATTCCGTCCCAGGACTTGGACCGTGCTAGACATGATCAAATCGTGGCCGCTTCTTCTCGTGACACCCAGTACTACTACTGCATGTTAGACGACATACTGTGTCGCAAGGAGCAGGATAAGAGGATAAGGGAGGCGGAAGCAAGGGTCAACCAGTCGCCATATGACCACCACGTCTAAACGGCCCAGTTAGTCCGACTCCCTCTTCCACTATGGTCCACTCCGACGGGGACCTCGATGCTAGCGCAGGGTTGTGTATAGGGTATAGGTTAATTTATCATTGATTTTAACATCACTCGTTGTATTTTCTTTAATGAACGACGGTAACAGCGAGAAAGTGTTGTGAGTCCTCACTGTTGTGCGTATATCCTCCTCTTGGTTACACGGGCTGAACGAAAACAGTACGAGGACAGGATAAAGAGTAATTTAATTTATATACAGAAACCAACGATAAAAGTAAAAACCCAGATATCAATAAAAACAAAACTGATATTATGGTAATTTGTTGTAAGTTTTATAAAAAAAACTATCGGGGTCCAGAATTTTTTCGAAAAAAAATTTAATCCATCAATCATGAATGATCTTTGAGCATTTTTACTTAATCAGAAAAGGTTTTCTAAAAAAAATAAAGAAACCCACCAATATCTTTGTAAAATGGATAGTTTCTTCACTACTTCACTGCAATCTAAAACACCGAACGAATAGAAAATATTTACTCAGACTTATATTGTAATAATCTATGCGTGGTTTTTTTTTTTGAAGTATTTTGTCTTAGTAGTATAAATACAACTATTGTAAAATTACAAAAAAATTAACATCAATTACGTTATGGACGATACGAATATTAATTCGTTTTAGGGGGCCGCGAACCGCAGAGCGATAGGTTAGGATATAGGTTCTTTTTTTTTTACGATTTGTAAGCATAGAGTTTTAATTTAATCGATAGTCTACTACGGCAAACGAAACGATAAATTATCGGCGCTAATGAATAATGATTACGCGTAGGTACGATTAATTGTTGTTTCGCAGTCACACCGGAGTTGGTACGCATTGTATAGATATACGTTTCTTGACAAGTACGAGTTTATGTAGTGCGTTTCGACTTTGCCGACCGCGCGAAATTCCGTTAAGATTTCCGAATCTCCGTCGTTCTTCCACGCGGTAATGCCGTTTTACGGTACTCGTATGGTAATAATAATATAATGTGTTTCACTACGGCACTGCCTATACATCACGTCCGGCCGCGGCGCCCCGCGCTGTAAAAGTTATGCCGGAAAACCGCACTGAAAACTCTCGCGCCGTGCAAAATCGACCGGTATGCTGCGGGCGCTTTATTCGACTTTAACATTTCGACACCTTTGTTCCGCACCTACGGCCTGCTCCAGACCGCCACGAAAACAGGATACATATAAAAAACGACTTGAATCGGACCGGAGCAGCTTTGATATTTCGTAACGGTTTTAGTTATACACGGGGCGACCAACGTAACGTGAAAAACGCATTGCCAACGAAAGCGTTAGCTGCTCTCGAAACTCGTTTCCTAGACAACGTATCTGTCGCATTGCCGTTATGTTTGTGTCGCCTTTATTTTCGAAGGTGAACCCACCGCGCACGTCCGGTTTTCGAATAGCCGTGTATCAAAAACGCCGTGAATCGACGGAGTTTCGGTTCGAGCACGTACCAGTATTGTTATTTTTAATTTCCGTCAATCGATGTTAACCGTTTCTCAAATTTTCTATAAAAATGAATTTTGGAAAAAGTTAATACTTTCCGTGACGGCGGGCGTCCTGTACAGCGGGAATACATAAAACCACACGCGACAAAGCCACGTGTCAAAATAATATGACAGCGTCTTATTATTTTTTGTCAACCGCAAAAACGAATAAATCCAATACCGACACAAATGCATTTCATACGACGGGTCCTTCGTTGCCGGTTATAGGATTTTTTAGATGAAAAATACGGCTATCGATTCGAAGCGTTTATTATTTGAAAACCGCAAATTTCCAGTTGTCGCGGTTCATACACCGAGGATACGGATTCCGGTACTCTATCAATAATCAATAAACGTGTATTTCGTCCGACTACGGAATGCCGAATGGCTACCATTTATTTTGTATTTTGTTTTTAAAAAGATTTTTTTTTTTTTATGATCTACACGGAAATCTGTGTCGAACGTTTTATCTTTTATCGGTTTAATACGGACGCAATTCCCGCGAATACAATGAAGACGACTTGCATATTATTATCATCTGGGTGTTTTTGATTTTCCGCGTATTCGTATATTATATTTATTCGATAATTTACATACTGAACGAGCGCATAACCGAGTATTTTTATACCGAATTCTACAAAGTTAGGTTCGGTTATTATTAATTTTTATGTAATACCTGTGTCTGACGTTTCGTTTACGATTGTTGCCAAACTTATTTCGTCAAACTCAAAAAAAAAAAAAAATGAGACATACAATAATAATAATAATAATTATTATTATTCACATTATCTACTACACATAAATCGCCAACCCACTCGTTGCAGTGTCTTGCTCTGTTATCATAATATTATAAATAATATAATAATATTATTATTCAATTAAATCGCATTTTTTAAGCTTTTCATTCGATAACCTCGATTTTTTTTTTTTTAAACCCCTTTTATCTAATTATCTTTCATAAAGTCATAATACATATTTTTTTTTTAGAAATTAACCACCGTTATTTTAAGCTCGTGATTTTTGATTTTCGAAAATGATTTTTGTTTAAATGACATTGTTAAATTAAATAAAAATGAGAAAATCGACGACAGCCGTTGCGATTTAAGAGGTTATAACTCGTATAGATTTATAGAAGTATCTGTTTTCATGGACGGATATGAATATAATAGTGCTGCGGTCAGCTTGTTTTGATCGTATTAATTATTTCGATGATATTTGGAGAGGTCGTTTGATCGGCCGAAAAGATACTGCAATAATGAGGGAACCCCGAGGTATAGTGTTTCGTACCTATTTTCGCTTTCGAGGCAGTTTTCAAATCCTTTCCTATCCCGAAAATCCGTTTTTGTCATTAACAGTAGGTACCGTATAATATCGCGTAAAATATTAATTACATATTATATCCGTTAATTATCAAAACGAATTTTAAATAACTCGGATCGAAATTCCACTGCAGCCCAATATTATTATTATTTATAGAAATTCAATAAAATCGACAACGTATCGAATATCATTCGGACTGACAGCCTGCGGTCGCGATCATTTTGCAGCCGAGAAATCGAGGGACGCGCAATCGAGAGTAATAATACAATTTTTACACTCTCCCGAAACACTCGAGCTTGAAACACAGTGTGTGTGTGTGTGGAATCGTCGACGAGTATTGTTGGTTTTTTTCTTCGACGAGTGTTTGTATCGGTTTTAAGTTTATTTACAGTATTTTATAATACGTGTAGCGCGGACGACCCCGAAAGTCGAGTATCCGACAGTAATAATAATATGTTAGCCGATGTTGTTAGGAACTAATTTTTCGAGGGTTTCGGAAAGCCATTATCATCGGTCTACGGTGTAGTAGGCGATGTTGACGCTGGGAGATTTATTCGATGTACGCACGGGGGTAAATTAACCCTTAACATCGTATCCTATACACGGGATACACGACGCAGAGCATTAATTTATTATCTACTCATAGGCGTGCAGTAGTATAAATGCATAGACCTATATTAACCCAGCTAGATGACTCCGAATAAAATTAATCGTTTTGAAGTACCGCGAACTTAACGATTTTGTTTTCAATATTTGTGTATGTGTTTTATTTTTTTTTAAACGTACCTATATTACCCATATAAATTCTATCGATTGTGTTATTGTATCGTTATATTATTATTGTAGTGAACACACACACACACACACACACACACACACACAAAAAACAAAATAAAAATTTGATAATGTAAAAATAGTATTAATTTTTTTTTTCTCGGGGAAATAATTTAAACTTAATTTAAATAATACGAATGATACCCATGTAAAATATAAAATATAATTTCAATGTTAAGTGAGAAAATATTTAGATTACGAGGCGTTAAAAAAAAGTTTACGAAATATTACGTGATATTTATCATTAGTTATAATATTATATTATATGCATAATTCATAATATATTTTGCTTTATGTTGAATAAATTAAATCGTTCAGTTTGCTTTTGAGCAACTGCGTTGTATTAATTAAAAAAAAAAAAAAAAACAAAACAAAAAAAGGCTTAAAAGAATAAATTGTGTATAGGTAAGTAAATTTAATATTATAAACGTGCACAATCTTATACTCTTAGGCGCACATAGACTAACTTTTTTTGAGGGGAGGAGCCTCATTATTTAAGCCTCCGTATTATTGATTAACATTGATTGTATATACTTAGTATTTACTTAATAAAAACTTGATTTTTTTTTTTTTTTTTGGGGGGGGAGGTTTTAGTGGATTTTTTTTTGGATCAAACTACTCCCTTCTTGTTAAGATCGAGCGCATTAAAATTGAGCAACATTAAAAAATGTTGAAAACTAAACGAACCCACTTGTATTGTAGCGCTTATTTCACTCGCGTAAAAAGTAATATTTTTTAAAAATTTGTTTGGACAATATTATACGAACTTAGTATTTACTTAATAAAAACTTGATTTTTTTTTTTTTTTTTTTTTTTTAAACCCATTTTGTAATTTTATTTCAAATAATCGCACTATTCGCATGTTGTTTAAAACCGATTTATTGTCTACATCTAACCCATTTAACGGCGTAGACGCAACGCTGAAACGCATACACATTGACGTAATTGATTTTTAAATACAGTTTTAAAAGTAACGCGACAAAAATGTCTGCGCGTGCGCGGGCGGCGATATTTTCAGAACACTCGCGAGTGGGTGTAGTCGACTCTCTTATACGACCCACCAGCCGTAAAGTGCAGAGGGAAAATATATTCTATTCTATTCTATTCTATTGTCCCGCGGAAAAACTGAATTAAATCTTGTTCTATAGAAAGAGAAAAAAAACTACACGGAACTCCCACGATAATACTCACCCATTTAACAATAATTGTCCTTTAAAATGCTCGGGTATCGGACTTGGAGTTCAATTATTATTATGGTTATTGTTTTCATTGATAGTGAAATTCCCAATGCGCGGGCGCCGCCCTTCGACCGACATGTTTTGCTTTCGGTATCCTGTGACTCCGAATTTGTACAAACACCGTCGAATATCGCGGTTTTCGCGTACGCGTCGCTACAGTGCAAAATAATTACATTCATTTACAATATAATATAATAGATAACTTTGAAAAAGTCGACGTTTTTTGCGCTACTAAAATAATAATTATGAAACAAAAGTATAACTAATGATTATTATTGTTTTTCTGGTGGTTATTATCCGAACAAGACGGAACAGAAATATTTTCAAATATTTATTCGTAACAATAAAATATAGTTAAATGTTTCATTGTAGGTAATATACTAACGTATACATATTTAAAAAAAAAATGTTACGATTGAAATTTTATTTGTGTAAAATAACGTGATATTTTTTGTTATTATTATTATTATTATTGTAATATTGTGAATTTAATAATAATTTTAATTTTAAAAGTCCTTCTACGTGAGGTTTTTTTTTTTTTTGTGAAAAACCGAAAAAAAAAAACTGAGGAAAAACAGGAAAATGTACGAAAGTATTAGTTGAAAAATATTTCGGTCTTTTTTTTCTCCCGTGTACAACTTTTATACCGGAAATTTTGCTCCGATTTACTATAATAGCATAATTTCTGAAAGGAAATCTGACTGGAAAGGTATTTTTTAAGAAGGTCATATTTCGATTTTTCTAAGAGTTTTCCCATCAAATGTAAAAAATCGGGGGAAAAAATGGGTAAAACGGGAAAATCAGTACTTTATATTTAAAAATATTTTTAAACAAAATATATAATGCTAATTTAATTATTTCACATTAATATGACATTGTTGACAAAACACGAGTTAATTTTTTGATTTTCCAAGGGGTTTTCATAATTTTTGGAAAAACTAGTAATCTTTCGTAAAATAGTTGTTGATTTCCGAGTAACCATATTAACAAGGGGAAAATATTAACTATGCTCAGTACCATTTTTCACGGTTTATCCTTTACTACAGATATAAATTAAATTACTCACATATCCTAGCTTTGACCCTTCCCATGTTCCTCGTGGTGGCACGCCCATCAGTTCTTTTTTTAAAAAAATGTTGTAATTTAAAAGAAAAATAAAGAACATAAATTATCTGACAGCGCGAGCGTTTTTGAACTTTTGAACTTACAAATTTTGTGTCAACAAATCTTTTCATCTCGAATCGAGTATAATTTAGTGTAAAATGAAAATCAAAAGAGATGACTTTATCTAGAGAATAGCTTTTCATCCGTTTAGTTAAATTTTTATTTATTGAAAAAAAAAAAAAAAAGTTACGTGAAAAATCTATACCTAACTATAGATTTTTTTAATTTCAAGAAAGGCCATTTGTTTAATTTTTAATACCTACTGTCTCGTATCATTAAATCGAAAATCAATAATATGTCAAACCCTAGATTATGTTGTCCGTCCCAAATTTTCATAAAACGAGTAAAAACTCAAAAATCACTTCGGTACCTTATTTTTCCTGTTTAACGTGCACATGCCTATTTTCGAACGCATTAATTCACCATTATACAGAAATACAATAAAGAACACTCGCTACTCTCTAAAACGTGCATAATTTGAATATTATATAATTGTGATTTTTTGAAAAATATTTCTAAAATTGCTCATATAAATGTTGGACATGTGGCATAGCATTGGTGATACGAGGGTATACATAACTATAGTTTTAGTGTTTAGTTTTTTCAATAGGTAAGTCAATGATTATTTCAACTGAAAAGCCTGTGTATGCGAGTACGCGAGACAATTGAGATAGAATATTAGTTGACTTAAGTTTAATTGTTTTTGCCAAAGGCGTTTAGGTTTTATTAAAAAATGATAAATGGGTGGGCAGTTTGGCGGGCAGTTTAAATATTTGTTTATTGTCTCGTACGTGATGTAAGTTCCCGCCGCCATTTTGACATATAGATAGCTTTTATTAGTAAACGAAAAAATAACACACTCATGAGTAGCAAAGCTCTATTACTGGAGTCACATTTGCACCCACATGTTTAGTAAAATAGAAACATATTCATTGAAAAACAATAAATGACCTAATACTAATATGATAAATTAAAATATTATATATATATACTACAATTATACTACTTCCGAAATAATAGAAGAAAAAAAAATGTAAAATACTATCAATACTGTATGATTACATTATTACTTGAATTATATTTTAAAATAACGTTTTACTACGACTATTAATTGCAATAATTTATATGATGATTAATAACTACAAATGTCAATCGCGTTCTTCGAACATTGGTCAAATTACGTTTTGTTCAACGGTTATCGATTAATTTAATAAGTGAAATGATTATTATTTTATTAGCGATAATATTTCAACGTTGAATAATTTATATTGTTATTATGATTATTTTTTTTTATTATTATTTACCACGACCAGTGGGGAGGCTAAAGCCCCCTAAGCCTTCCATGGGTACATCACTGTTTCTATTTTCAGGGAAAACTTGACAAAAACTTAAACAAAATTCTTACGCGAATTCATCTCGCCCTCCCCGGTCATAATACCGGTCCAGACAAAGGCGGCCGATGCTCCGGCCTGCACCTAACCGGGACGAGCGTGCGCAATTGTTTTATTTATTGTCGCGGTTCTTTGTCGCGTCGGAGTACGAACTCTGGTAAGTGGTAACCAGTAAATATAGGCATTGTATACAATAAAAACGCGCTCAAATTCTCCGGTGCGAAACGGACCGGAGGAGATTGTATATTGTTTACGGCGGTCGTCCGTGAACGAATTTTCACCGTTTAATTTCGAGAGCCGACGGCACAAAGGCGACACGCGGCGGGCATCGGTGGCCGAAGAAAAGGCGCCTACACGAGTCTCTTCTTCCGCCCCAGGCGGCGTCCGCGGTTGCGAGTTCTTTTGTTTACCCTCAAAGGGCCATTCGGTCTCTCCGGGCTCCGGATGATATTATATATAATATTCTCTTTCGGAACACGCCACGATATCCAGAGGACCCTTTTTTTGCCCCTCGGTAAATCACAACGCTATATACGTAATAATATATTATTTTAAAATATATTGTACGTACAAATTATAATGTAATTATTATTGTTTCAATTATGCCTTTTCCCCGGTTACCGATTGTGTGCTGCAGCCCAGAAATAACAATACAATATTATCGCAGTTGTGCAAATAAGACCGCAACTCAAATTTTACTATTTTCGTGTATTTGGTATCCGTGAATAATCGATTATCGACTGCGATATTTGACCTTCAATCAAAATAACGTGGCTAATTTTTTAAAACAGATGCATAATTTCGAAAAAATAATTGGTACCTACGTTGTAGTTATTATATTGTAATTTGTTGTTCTTTCAATATTTACAATGACACACAGAAATGAAGATATTCTTGAGTAGAGAAAAAAATCACAACAATGACGAAATATTACTTTCAACTATACACATTGTTTTTCGCACTATAAACAAATTCGTCTTCTTCTCCTTCGCCTACATCCCAATTATTTTCAGTGTTGTTAACGAGCGATACCTGGAATTGATTCTATTTTAGAAGTACAAATGAAGGAATTAATTCCATTATTTTTTGAAGGAATAGAAACGTGAATTAATTCATTATTTTTAGGAATAGGAAAGAAAATATTGTAATTCTTTTTTTTAACAAAGAAATTAATTTAATTTAATTTATTAGGATTGTAAACATGTCAATTCTAAGAAGTAAGAATAGTTTCCAATTTTTATTGATTTGATCAACTCACACTACACTTATTTCTTTTTGAAAACTAGGTTAGATACACAAGTAACAAATGAAAACCCTCAATATCATTAGTGCTATTAATATTTTCAAATTAAGAAAAGCATTATTTTAATGTGCATTAAGTATTTATATAAAAAAAAAAAAGGAACGCTTACAGGAATGACTTCCGTTTTTAAGGAACGAGGAACGGGAAAGAGTTCTTTTTTAAAAGGAACTTTAAAAACACCGGCTATTTGGAATCGGTCACTCTCGTACTGAAATTCCACTTGACCCAATCTTCCACCTTCTTACACCGGTTGACTTCAAATCATTCTCAATCACATCCAATCACCTCTTTTCCGGTCTTTTGCTTCTATCCTCCTATGTTTATTTTGATTTTATTCTTACTGATTCTGATATTTCTCTCTTTATGACATGCTCAATTCATCTCAAACCATCGCAGTTTATTTTCACTAATTTTTCTACTTTAGAAGCAACGCTTTTGCTACCACTTAAGTACTCGTTCCTTATCGGGCTGATCTCATTATCTCTCGTAACTCTACTCATCCGCCTAAGTATTCTGATCCTTGCTACACTTATTTTCTGTTTATCCTCAAACACTCCAAACCATAAGTCAATCTCACCACACTTTTGTAAAACTTACCTTTAATACTCATTGGGAAGTTCTTGTCAGGCAAGATACCTGACGCATTCCTCTACTTTATACAACCACATTTAACCCTATGTTTATAATCTTCGTCAAAGCCACCGTTCTTTTGTACAAAAGACCCTAGGTATTTCAAAACCTCACGCCTTATTAACGTAACGCCGTCTTGTCCTGTTTTACAAATTCATATTCTGTTTTACTTCTAATTATCCTTAGTCCTTTTCCTTCAAGTACTACTCTCCATTCTTCAAGCATAATATTCACTTGTTCCAGATGTTCTCCAATCCAACGTATACCATCTGCGAACATTCCCGCGCATATCCGAGACGGGAAAATCCTCCAAAGTCTTGTTTAAAACTCCTCACACTGTTTGACAGAATTTTACGCCGGCTAGCGACCTGACGTGACCGTATTTTGTTCGCCTCTTACGGCAAACAGACGTGCCGTGGGAGCACTTCGATTCCTACGCACAAGGATACGGTAACAATAATTATCATTTTAATTTTAATCTTTCGTATCGATTTCCTAAACAGATACAATTTTTCGATTCGCGTCCTTGTATTATTGTACTTGCGTGACTGTGCGATATCGGCTTCGTATACATAACGCGCATTATTATTATAATATCCATTGTTATCACGCGAATATAATAACACACACACACACACACACACACACACACACACACACACACATATATATATATACTAGGTACTGGTATAAAATAATATACGCGGTACTTGTGCGGAACATTCTCTGTGCGGGGTCGTCTTTTCTGACGGATACCGCGCGCGGTTGCTGCGCATCTACACTATTATTATTAATATTATTAACCGCGAATTTGCATTAATTATAACGATATGCGGTTTACGGTACAATAATAATAATAATATGCGGAATTAATGTTATCGAACACTCACATTGTTGCGTCGTAGGTGTGAGTAATAGCAGTTTAACTACCTCGGACTCGGCGTTGAGAATATTGTTGGCGAGATACGCTGCGCGGAAGATAAAAGCCGGACGGTTAGTTTTGGGCGCGTATGAAAACACTCGGATCTATAGCATAGGCAATACCTATTGTTATATCGACTGCGTTGTAAGTGTATAATTTATTATTATTAGTATTATAGTCGCGTGGAAACATTTGATCGTGTGCGCCATACAACGTCAGTGGCGTGACTAGAACTTCTTATGCTCGAGGACAAATATTGTATTTAAGTCCTAAAAGCTGAACTGATAAGCAAAAAAAAAAACGGTCATTCAAAAAGACCACCGCCTTTCCAATAATGCCTCGAGCCCTGGTCTCGGCTTCTGGTAGGGCCCTCATCAGTTGTGGGCCCGTGGCGTTTGCCCATCTTGCCCACCCGGTATTCACATCACTGCGTACGATAACATTACACATTACCGTGGTGTTGCGTTTTATCTAATAGATCGACCGGTTATCCGACGGATGTATATTATCGATTCCGGGCAGAGTCAGGAATGGATACGGTTTTACGATAAAATGTGTGTTTGTTTGTTTACGTCTGCAAGCGACTTTGCTGCGTTATAAAAAAGTACGGGAAAAACTGACAAATATCTACGACGGCGAAACGATTCGATTAGTTTAAATTTGTTTCTATTTTTGTTTTAAATCATACGCATCGTACTCCGCATTTCAATCTTTTTCGTTAGCAATGGTTTATCGTTGCGAAAAAATATAAATGAAATAACTTTATTTACCTATTTCACCTTCAAAGCCACTATACAAACTACACCTATTACAATGGCACACCCATCTCCAATATTAACTCATTTTTCAATTCTTATCTTATCCAGACAAACATCAAATCATAGTTTTCTGGGCCATCATTTAAGATGATAATAATTAAATTTCTTTGCTTCGTAAGTATAATATTAATTTAAATAATTTGTTAGTTTAAACAAAGACTACACGATTATTATAATAGCAATGTTTTTACTTCTTTTTAATTATGAATTATATTTTATAATAAAATATAAATTTGTGTATTTTGTTTTCTTGAGAATTCATTTATTATGAACTAACCGTTACGGAGCATTTCTACGCTTATTGATCGAGTCTGTATCTTTTCTATGATTATTTCTTCACGCGTGTATTGTTGTTACTAAATAATTATTATTATTATTTATCAAAAAATCATCTAGATCGTAGTTAAAACTTTTAAAACCGTAATAATAGTAATAATAATCATTATTCAAAGTTTTTAAGGCACTCTTGCGGATTATTATCGTAACATAGTTTGTCAATTTAAAACGGAATAACGTATTAAATAAGTGCAAGTGGTAAGGGTGGCCGTTATCCCGCGGCACGTTGCATATATGAATATTGTACGTATATTATCGATCGTATTTTTAATAGGATATAATACGTCTGACAACCAAGAAGAATAATTCGCTAACGATCGCTGCGAATAATACAGGTACCTGCGCACATAATATTGCAATGGAAATGAACATGAAAACTACATAATTTAACCTACGGTAAGGTTGGTAGGTTGACTGTACGAAAACAATTTGGAGGAAAAGAAGAGACTTTAGATACATTTTTTTAACGTCTACCTCCACATATTATTATACCTGTATAGCAGTGGCACCGTGTCCATAAGCGTGCGCAGGTTCTCTTAGCAGAGGAGGGAAATCTTTGGATTTAAAGCCTTACAAAAAAATCACAGACACAAATAGTACATATATTTTCGAAAGTGGGCTTAAATCCCCGTTATATATTGATTATGCTTTGTATTTAATTGACGATCGCTTTGTTTTGAGGGACTTGGTTGGGTTTTCGGAGGAGGGGGTGGAAATGTTCAAAAGTCTCTACCCCTGTTTGCACCAATGCACAAAATGTACATCTAACTCGTTTTTTTAATAATATTTTTGCAGAAAATCTCTCTTGTCTCTGCCATGCGTATGCCTATGACCACGTTTACTTTCGTTGTTTTACGATTATCATTTTGAAACGATAGAAATTACCGACAAAAATAAAATTAAAAACTACCGGCTTGTAATGTTATATTATCGTACCGATAAAATTCGATATCATGACGTGTATATCTGTACGTCCGAGCGTTCGTGAAAATTAGAAAAATCGAAAATTAGAAATTTTAATTTTGATGCGCTATATTTTCATTGGGGAACAGTTACTGTGCATTGTGCCGTCGTCGTTGTCGCATCGAAATTATCCCGAACGAAAAAAATCGTACAGCGGGTAAAATATTTGAAATTTTGAATGCAGAATTCGGGAAATCTGTATAGTATTTATTATTATGATCAAAATCTAAATATTACGGGTTATTGCGTTTCGTTCTACCCCGTCGATATACCGTGTACATCGTGGAGAGGGGAGGGGGGTAGTAACATAAAAACGCATTATGGCAAGAGACCCAGGGACCTGATATCTCTTTAGACCAAAGGAGATACCACATTTTACAGCACTGTATACTACATTCTGATATCTGTGTAAGTAGCGATACACTATCGTGATGTATCCTTACGCTGTCATTTGTTATTTATTTTAGATTCTGAGCGGAGCGAGGAATGTATTGGTTTCACAATAATGTGTTTTTTTTTTTCTTTTTTTTTATCATATGAACACTTTTTCTACAAGAAAAGATTACTCCGACTATCAATTATAGCACCTTTTCCAAAAGGGGCAATGTTCTCTGGGTAGTACTACATTGAACAGGTTATTTTTTGAAATTATTATTAATATTAGATGTAATGAGGAAAACCAGGTTAAAAAAGACTAAAAGATTAAAGATTGCTAATGATGATCGTTTTTTATTATTAAGTTTTTATTATTTTAATATTTTTCAAACAATCGTTGTTGTTACGGAAACGCACGTTATTGTAATCATTTCACCATAATATGGGCGTATATTTATATTGTTGACAAAGCAACACTATCAACTGAATTCCGCTCCGAATCGTTTTTTCGTTAACAATGGTTCATCGTTGCTTACAGGTATACATTAAACTCCCGTCTGTGTCCTAGCTTTCAAACTCCCCGCCTACAACAGTGATTGCGGTCACACGTGAAGTGTGTCCGTTTTTTTTTTTTTTTTTTTTTTTTTTCAAACCGTTATCACCAGAAACGCAATCGTCCGAAATATTTCAATCGCGGATAGTGACTATAATAATCTCGCGGACAACGTTGTCTGCTGCAACGGGAAACGTTGCTGTGGTTATTCGGTCGCGCGAAACAACGACGACGGCCGTATAATCGATTGTATCGATTACGGCGGTGTGATGTTATAACCCCGCCAGTTTAATAATAAACATCCGACCGTTATTCGCGGGGCGGGAACCAATTGATTATCTCCCCGTTTGTCCGATAATCGGTGAAATTTATAGTACCGTGTAACCGTCGTCTCTGCAATAATGCTCGGGATGATGTATTTTAAGTCGCGTGTATCTGTATTATAATAATATAATTCATTATGATATTCGGCCATAAAGATCGGGTGGTCCGCTGCGGTACCGTCAAACAGTGCGGAAACTATCGTTAGAATTTCGTATATTTTGAATTAATTCTGCCCGCGTTAATAGTGCGCGATGGCGACTGGCCGTAGTGGCGGCGGCGGCGGCGGCGGCGGCGGTGGCGGCGGTGGCGGTGGTCGATTGCTTTATACAAACTTTGAAATAATAATTAGTTCCTGTTCTTAATTTCGCGATAAATTAAGAAGAAAACTTCTTCATTTTTTTTTTTATGTTTTATGTTTTAATGAACATTTAAACAAATCTAGTTATTCGTAACACTATGTATAGTTTACAAGTAAATATATACCGTTTATATACGTATTATGCATGGTATCAAAATTTTGGAGAAGAAAAAAACGTTTTATTTTTTTCGTTTCTTTCCAACATAACACGCCGGGTTTTACTGTTACTGAGTTAGACATTTTTTTCTTTTCTTTTTTTTTTTTTATTAAACATCGTGAAATAATAATATATATATATTAAAAAAAAAAAATAATAATAATAATAAAAATCGTTTTTGAAATAAATATTGACTCACCAAAATTGCTTTTATCGGCTTGTTCTGAAAAAATAAAAAAAAAGATATTTTTATTAATACACCCTCGAAGTGTGACTAGTCAGACTCGTAAAGTCCGATATAATTATCTTTATTGTTATTAAATTACTTTTTTTTTTTTTTTTTTTTTTTTTACTCACACTTTTTGTCCAATCACAAAGGAAATTATTAGTTTTCGTTTACATAATATATATATATTATATAGATCGTTTGCGGTCGTCGTATGTACTCAGATGTACGCATATTGTGTATTATTTTTTAGCCTCTGTTTACGGACGTATTTTGATTGTGTTTAAATACAAAAAAAAACCATAAGAATATTAAAATTGTTTTTTAAGTCTTCCGTAATTAAAATTTACTCAGTCTATTATGTTTTTTATTATTCGCTTTGTATGGACGAAAAACACCGCAGAGTGCTGCAGTCTTACCGTCCAATCAATGCAAATATTATACAAGTAATAATATCATGTTTCACTTAATAAAATTGTGTTTAAAGCGGTATTAATTTAACAACTCTATGTTAAAATGTAATTTGTATAATTATAGTTAAATATTGATAATTGTATTGGTATATGGATTACAGAAACTAAATTTGAAAACAATATTGCAGTGATTAGAAATTATTCAATATTCGACTATTTTAAACGCCCACATCGTATTATATTGATTAACCACGAACAAATTGTATTGTTGTATAATATATGTATCGGTCAATAGCGCGCACAGGATTATTATTTATTATTATTTTTTAAGAGCGGTTTTATTTATAATTATTTCCTAGAGAGGGGATACCACATATTATAAGTACAGTACTATAATCACTATTATTACTTATTAATGTGTTTATTTTTTTTTTTATTGTGATTCGGTGAAAAATAATCGTAAGACCTGATATTTTAACTAAGTACCTATAAGTTATTATCTATACGTGGCACATATATTCCTGGAACTTCTGATGTTTTTGAAATTATATACAACTACTTTAAATTTTAAAATTGTTTGTTTTATGCAAATAAAATAGTTTTGGCTCTTGAAAAATGCTCGAAAATTTGATACATAGGTGTAATCAATAAAATTAATAAAATACGTTTAAAAAACGAACAATTTCAATTCATTTTATTAGTAAAAACTAATACAAATTTAAATTCAAATTTACCGACAAGATGTTTATTCAATCTCCGCTCAGAATCGTTTTTAATTTTAAATTATTTTCGTTGCACGCAACCAATATTCTAAATAACTACGAATTTTATCCTTCCCGACTTTTTTTTTTTTCAATTTAATTGTGGTCGTAGCTCTATCTATTGAGTTTTAGTTTTCCGTTTAATTTATTTCTTTACCCGATCGGTCGAGTATAGTAGCTCGCGGTATCACAGGATTTTGATTTTTGGAGAATTTCTTTCGCGTTATCTGGTGCTTATCTTTTCCCGGGATAAGTTGGTCCTAAACTGCCTGAGAGTGGTTGGATGTTATTGACGTGTAGCGTCGAATATTTAAAGTACGATATATAATTAAATAAATTTCAACAGCCAACCAGTAGATTTATAATTGAGGTATAACACGTTTCACATCTATGTTTATATTATAAATACGCGAAAAAGAAATTTTTTTTTTCCGCACACACGGTTATACAGAAATTTTTTCCGCACACACGGTTATACAGAAATGTAATACTCCTTTGAAGTTAAATATTATTTAAAATTGAAGTTAAATATTATTTAA